ATGAGGTACAAGAAAATGCCAAATGTCAAGCTTGTGAGCTCACAATTTGAAGATGTTGGGGTGCGAAAACAAGAAATCGAAGAGGACGACATCAAACCAGTTGTTTTGGTGCGAAAGCAGTTTGCACACGCGCTTGTTCAACGGTGTAGCTTTCGAAATGTCAATGATGCCATTGCTACTACTTGCAAAAGTTGCATCGTGTCCAACTCTTTTTCTGTGGCCAACACTGCCATTTGGGTGTCTCATGGCAATCATGGTGAAGATTCACATTGTTCCTCTGAGATTTTGAAGAATACGCTTGATTGCTGCGACACTGGAATCCTTATCACTCGTATTCCACAAGTGCTGGTGGAGCAGAATCAAGTCGAGAATTTCCGCCGTGCCATTGTCTTGCTACATTTAAAATACGCATCCCGCGTGGAAGCCAACGCAATCCAAAATGGCAAAGGCACAGGAATCAGTGTGCTGGACTCTCCGGCACAATTGATTTCCAATACCCTCACAAGGCCAGGATTGAAAGGCATCATTTTCGAAGGAGAGGGCCGCCAAATGCCAGAGTTCGCGGTCACGGATGCTTAGTTCGCAGCTCATTGTATGGTTTGGTCAGCAGTTATTTTCAAGACACTTAAGATTATATATGGAGTTATTTAGGTTGGCTTGGCACACGTGTCTAGAATTTCAACCTAAAATCGTTAAGAACTCTGGTTTGAGCCTGGCCTATTGCCTGAGGACAATCATATCAGTGGAGCAGGCTCATCAGGCATTGAGGTCATCGGAAAGTCTCGGGTTTGGAATCCCAACGGGGCAGCTGTGCCATCAGAGTTTGCAGCAATTTGTCGAGGAGAAATGTGCCCAGAGGACATCAGTATTGAGGCAGGTCAGGTGATTGGGAACATTGCAAACAACAGGATCCTTGGCAATGGCCGTGGGGTGTTGTTGCAAGATGTTCCTGCCATCATCGAGGGCAATACCTTGGCAGCGAACAATGGTTGGTCTATCCACATGGATTTGCGATTTCTCGGACGCCCGGAGCACCGCAGCGCCATGGTGGGGAACACGGTGGTGGCCATGAAAAACAAGAAAGGGCAGACGGTGCCAGACCGAAGCATACGCCTTAGTATGCCGGAGCCGGGCTGTAGCTTCTTTCCGGGTGTCCTTCCGAAGATCTCGGAGAATCTTCAGGAGAACGGACACGAACTGTTGCCCCTGGTCAAGCGCAGGCGGTTGGAGTGACTGTTCGTAGTATGACAAACAAGGCGTTGCTGAGCATTTGGCTTGCGGTGAAGTGAGGGTGCACTTTTACTCCTACCAGGGAATGCGGCAACGCGCAAGTACTGCAAGAATTGCATAGGGGCCCCAGCGCTGCCCCCCCCACCCGTGAATTGAAGCTAGCATGGGCAGAAGATGAAGAGTTCACCAGCCGTCAATTTCCATCGGTTGCCTTTGGTTGCATGATTTAGTTTCGATGTTTGCTGTCCCTGTTCGTTGTCCGCACTAGACGACTCGTTATGCCTCCAACCCGGAGCCCTCAGCTCCTTCCAGGCTTCCAGAAGCACTGGAGTCGATGGGGCGAAGAACATCCGGAAGGAACTGTCAAGGCCGTTGCTTCATTGTTTCAGACTTCCAGTTGCACGTCTTCCTCGAAAGTCACTAGTCCCACCTCTCAACCTGCCCTGCCTAGGGAGCCCGGTTTCTTTCGAGAATCCATTTGGCCACCGGGGTATCGCCTGCCGCCAGGTGGATGGAAAGGAGATCACTCGCGCCTTTGGTGCGGGCAACCCCTTCCCTGTGCCCCCTGGAGATGCGGCGCACGAGGGCACCGTGCGGATTCTGGCGCCCAAGGGATCGGTGGTTCTGTGGGATAGCCGACGCTTGGTGGAGCAGGTTATGAGCATGAGCCATGGCATGTTGCACTGAGTGGACTCCTCCGGTATATGCTCTATATATAGTCTTGTTCAATTGTTGATTGTTGATCATTCTTGTTTTTTTTGTACCCTAGGTATCCCTAGGTCCTACTTAACAAACATGTCTAAAGTATTTTTTTAGTCAGCTGGACTGAGGCTTGCCGCATCAGAACTTTCCGAACAGCAGTGACCATGAGCAGCTTGTCTCGAACTTTTATGGCTGGGGAAGGCTGGGGAATCGATTCTCCAGTTTGTTCAACATCGGTTTTGGCCAACACAGGGGAGCGGCCAAGATTTGCTTTGATTTTTGCAACAACGGACGAACAAGTGGCTGGTGTGTTTCTGTGTGTGTTTTCTGTAACACACCACGAGTTTGGCAAACGAACCCATGCGATTTGTGGAACATCTCAGGTGGCGTGTCATCCTTTACATGAGTTTTTGGCCCTTTGAAAAGGAGACCTATCAGGAGCAGAGACATCCAACTTAAAGTCTGTGGGACCTCGATCGGTGGATTTCTATCTTGAGAGATTCAATTGTATAATTTGTCTAGATTCTGATCTGGCAGAATATATTTGGAATGTGCTGTAGATATCTGTAGATACTCAATTCGAGCCATGAGAATCATGAGAACATAGAAAATTGTTCAACATCACCACGTGACGTTGGGTGCTGTGGAGGCTCCCTTTCCCAAGGTCCAGTGACGTCCAGTGGCGCTGTGCCTGTATGAAATCGGTTCCAGAAGAAGACACTGCATTCCCCAAGGGTCCCTCAGTCAGACACTGCAGTCCTCCCACAGTCGTGGCACCGGAGGGTCTTCCGCCTCACTTGGGATCGACCCAGTCCTTCCTCGCCAGGAGCGTCAGTCCTTCCTGGCCCAGCGCCTTCGTGTCATGGAGGCGCTGGGCCACGCAAGCAGCGGAGCGCTGCCGCGCTGGGCGGTCTCCGCTGCGGAGGCAGCGGCGGAGCTGTCCGCCGAAGCAGTGGAGGTGTGGAGAAGTGACAAATCCTGCGGCTAGTCCTGCGGCTAATTTTTGGGGAGATCATTACCACTAATTATCATTCCAGCGGTGAATAGTTGGTGATGAAAAACAACTGTTGTTTTTTTTAGAGCAGCAGTCGAATTGGTCACTCTCCGAATGTTGAGACGCCCGCCCACTTCCTTCGCTTTGATATGCTCGCATCAGCAAGACAAAAAAAATATTGACCAGGTTCTTATGTAGGCTGCTGGCTAGTCCATAGTTATTAATGAAGCGTAAACACAAAGTTCTTATATATGTTCTTACTGAATCATCTTAGGCAGGTGATGATACAAGATTGTCTATGATACAAGATTGTCAGTAAGAACGTATAAGACACAAGGTGTTCTTATAAGTTCTTATTGTTGACGGCTGATTGCCCTTTCTCTATATGGCAGGTGTTTTTTCGGCCGTGTGAACCCCCACCAGACCACTGGACCACTGCAGTTTCAGTGAACCTGTCCGTTGGCTACACGGTATGTGGTAGTGGGTGGGCCCCTGGTGACTGGTACGGTCCCTCAGGGCGGGGGGGTGGAATCCCTTTTCATCCAAAGTGGGACGTCGTGAGGTTGGGTATTTATTCTGGTCAAACTGAAGGAGTTCAACAAAGACTTTACGAGACGAGTTTTCTTCCACATTGCAGTTGAGCTTGGAAACAATTCTGCCATGCGGGAGGCCATTCGTTTGACGCATGCAGCGGGGGGAAGCTGAAATGAAAGGAGAACTGGAGAAGTCCACAGAGATGATGAGACGCGCGATGAAGCTCCTTGGACAGATCAGTATACAGTAAGAGATTCAGAAATCACATGAATAGTAGGGAGTTCAATCTGAGTTAACCTTGGCCTACAGATGGACAGCGTGGAGGTGAGAAATGGTCACCCCCAAAAGAGATTGAATTCTTCCCCCAGTCCCCACTTGGGAACTGGGCCCAACTATCAAAAGAACTGGCGATGTGAATGTTTGTCCCACTCTCTATTGCCCAATTTCTGGCGAGATCTGACTTTTGTTGCTCAGGATGTGGCCGCAAGTTGAAGCCTGGTACGAGGCCATTTTTATTTGAGTGTGGGTCAGAATCCCATGAATAGCTACACTAGGGGCCTTATTTGTCGAAGGGTACATGCCAAAAGGAAAAACATTGAATGTCGACTACAACCTGTGTCTTATTGGTGTGTATTTTGACCCCACGACAACCCTGTTTTGGATGTCAGTGCTTCCCATCGAAAGCTGTGACACTGCACCAGCTTCCGCAAAAAGAGGGACCATGACTCATGACAGATCAAGGTGGCGTTTGGGAAGCTGGGGCAAGGCTGTACAGATGATCCACACTTGTGCAGCATGTATGTTGCAGTGTACAGTTGTGTTGCCAAGAATGCGGAAAAAGGGGAGAGAGAGGGGTAGTGATCGTAGAGATGGAGTTCATGAGAGGGATTGGACGAAAGATATGTCAAAGCCCCTCCACGAAGGTCCCATGGGCAGATACTGACTGGTTCAGTCTGGTTCGGTCTGGTCATATTGGTCCTAAATGAACAGACAGAGTCTCAATTAGACAGTGGCTAGGATCCTCCATCGTTAGATCATTTTATTCTGCGAATGTTGCACAGACATTGTGACGCCCGTTCAATCTAGTTGATCACTTGAGCGGGTGGCAACATAAGATGCCTTTGCGAAAGGCAAACAGAGAGTGGCGAAAGATCTGTGATATACTATTTGTTTTTTCGGACACTTCGCAGGAATGCAAGCTTGCTAAAAGCTTCTTTTTTTAGTCTTTACTTCCAAAGTCTTACAGGTGCAGTGTAATCTTCTTGCACGGAATGCACTGCATTCCAAACCAGCCTCGCGCCCTATCATGGCACATCCACTCAAATAGCGGATGCCAGCCCGACACAGGGGCAACGGGATTTGGTCAGCAATGGGAAGTGTTGCTCAAATCTCAAACCTGTAAGCTTTGTGCGTTTATCCAACATAGAGGGCCAAGAAGGAAAATGGCTCAACACCGTCGGCAACCAAAAACACTCTTTTGGGGGCACAGACCGAGCCCTATGAACTGATTTTTCTGCAGAGCAGTGACCCAAAAGTCCAGGAGCTGCAAGACCATCTCACCGTGGGCGAATTGGCACGGCAGATCAGTAGCTCTGACAGAACGAAGTTGGGTGCGGCCTTCCCCGGTGGTCAAAGCGGGTCAAAGCGGGTCAGAGCCACCCATGAGGTGTGTTCTCAAGATGCTTTAAGTTGAGAAAATGCAAGACCATGAGAGACATTTATCAGAAACTTCATGACATGGTTTCTGTTGATTTGATGTTCCCTGGCGGTGGAATCCCGACCTGACGTTGAAGCTGTCCCTCAGGCCATGATCACCAATATGGATTTGGGGTGATTGAAGATTGAACGTTTCATCAAAGGGACCACCATGTAATGGAGGCAGGATGAACATATGGATCGATATGAAGAGTTGTCTCTGAAAATCGGTTCGCCTGCCCAGGCGATATACATTGAGCCGCTCCCTTCCCACAAATACACATCTCTTATAGATCTGACTGCAAAGCCACACGTTTCCACATCCAGTCATGTGGACACAGGTTCCTTTCTTGGGGTACCGCCGGGTACCGCTGCAACCCTTTTCAGCGGCGGCGTGCCGAGTGGCTGCTCAGGTGCCTTGCCACCCTGTGCGGCACAGCTCACCTTGCGAGAAGCCGCACAGCTCTTGCTGTCTTCAGGTCCCAGACCGATCGATCGAGGGGAACGTGGGAGGCTGACGTCCGCTGTTTCGATGTTCTCAAGCTACATGCGGAGGCTGTAAGACACCCTATCTTTTGCAGGAGAAACATGCGTCTAGCACCATGACAAGAGCCGAACTAAGAGGGAACATGAAACCTTCTCCGCCCCCTCAGAGCGGCGCAAATCATCTCAAATCCCAAAGACATCCAAAGACTGTTATTCACAGCCCCATTAAAAGGGCTGTCAGTGAACCACTCCGACAGTGGGTCCCTGGTGTAAACCACCACGGCCAAACGTCTCGCCGTTCGAGTCGACTTGCGAAACCTGCACCCGCCACGAGACCTGCGCCAGGTCAAGCGGCGGGCTGCGTCGTGGATGAGCCGCTCGTCCGGTGCCTTCTTCCGTCCGTGGTTCCTTCGATGGTTCACCCTTTTGGGGTTCGTTGGAAGATGTAGGAAATCTGGGTCAGACGCGGTCAGACAAACATCCCCGGGTGGAAGACCGGATTGAAGACGCAGAAAGCACCAGGGAGATAGCTTGACCGGATATGACAGGTTTCCCGACTGGCACGGGATGAAAGGATGAAAGAACACGGGGGCGCGGGGGGTTGGAAGTTTTTGCATAAACATGCTTTAGTTGATGAAGGTGAAACACCCAAAGAACAGTTTGGGTGTTGTGTGGACCTTTAGCAGTTCGACTTTGTTTCTGACCTTTGAGACCAGAAAACAATTTGAAATTCAGGTGCCCCATGATACTTTACAGTTTTGGATGTGCGATTATATATGTGTAAAGAGCATTCCGGCAGTCCTTTAGTCAAAGCACATCACCTAAAATCATCCATTACATTTTCTCCTGAAATTTGGTATGTACGTAGTGCGTTGGTGCTTCTGCTTTGAGAAGCTTTTTGTTTTTGTTAAACCCAGTTCCACTAAATCCCTAATGATCCATTTCCAACGGTTCATTTGAGGGCTCTTTTGAGGTAGCTGGCATCGTTCAGATTGTCCTGATACACTGTTTTCTATGATCCTCCATCATTGCAAAAACCCATGCTTTTCACCCCAACCTAGTTTCAATTTGAGAAGTGTGCTGAGAGCCCAGTTACCTCAGGGATGTTCACAGTGACATACATGTACTTATGTAATGTAGTTACCATCGATTCAACATATCTGGGGTATCTCAGCGTTCCTCTTCGATGCTCCATGGACAGCTGGTTTGCAGAGTCGAGGAGCGGTGTGCCGGTGGGCGTCATTACAGAAGATGACATCCTCCAGAGCCCTTTGGAAGCATGCGCAGAGCGCAGGTCAGACGTGCCCGTGACGTGCCCCTGAAGAAAGTGCATGTTCTTAAGGCAATGATCATGATGATCAGCTTAATCTCGAAGAAACAACATGCATCCCAAGATGGCCTGATCTACAATCCATATCTTCCTCAAGTAGATTGGACCAATTGTTTTGAACTTAATACCAATATATGTCGCATTGTGGCCGTTCTCCTGCTACTATATTTGTCAGAGTCTTGCTAGAATGATGACATCAATCAACAAAAGCATGAACTGTTGCTCCTTCCAACCGCTTGTCTTTCGTTGTGTCCAGCGAGCCGCCGTGTCATTCCGCCGCTGTGAGGCTATGTGCAGGGTGCCCCTTGGAACACCACCGTTGGCGAGTGGTTGCGCGGAGGCGGTCCCTGTTGGAGTGATGCCAGACACCTGTTCACCGTTGGAGTTGGGTTGCCAATTTACACCTTTACACACCTTACAGCAGAACTTCTGCAAAGCAATGATACAAACTGGAATGTTTGGAAGAAACTGGACATGGGCCCATGGGCTGTGCTTGTTTTCCATGTTCGGTGGTTCAGTCCACCGCTTTTTCCACGAGGCGGCGGCGCCCTCTTCGGCGAGCAGCGGGGCAGTCCCACTGCGCGGGTGGAGTCAGAACAGCCGGGGCCAACTCAGTTCGGAACCGGCGAAAGGTTGGACGATCCCAACGGGTTCAACAGGGTTCGGCCTGTTTCAAGAGGGTTCGGTCCTGTTTCAACAAGAGTTCGTGTTGCTTCTCTCACCATGATGAGGTAAATGTAATTCAACAACATGTTAGCAAGACACAGCCACGTAGCCAGGACTTTCACATCCTCCACCGAGCCTGCCATCCGCCACCTGCCACCCTGCCACTGCGCGTGTGAGGCCGGTCCAGTCCGCGCTGCCGGGGCTCCTGTGTCACCGCTCGCCCTTGCGCCGTGGGCGCTCGGCGCTGCTGGTGGAGCGGCAAGGGAACTACGCCGGTGGCGTGTCGCCTGGCCGGTGGAGTTGGGGCTTTCGATCAGGTGAATCAGTTTCGTTTTGCTTTATAGTTGTGATGTTGTGTGTCTCCGCAACTCCACTTCCATTGCACTCCACTTCCATGTCATCTTACCTCATCTCACCTCGGTGCCATCAAGGCTTTCCACCTTTGACATCGTCCAAGCTTTGGCGCAGCGCGCCGGAGAGAACTTGGCAGAAGCCTTGAGGCAACCAGCCGAACTCCAAACGCTCAGACAAGCAGGGCTAAGCAGCGCTATGCAGGGAAGTAGTTAGACTGCTGCTTGTATGCATCGCTCGTTCATAGGTTCCAACCAGTGGCAGATTTTGTTTAAACTGCAGTAACAAACACACTCAGACTGTAATATAGTGTAATTGGGCTTCCTTTTTCTTGGTGGGTGGTTCATTTTGTATGGGTTGAAGCACTAGATACCTGTGCTCCATTGAGACACCTCGCAGCACTGGCAGCTGATGTTTGTTCTTTTGTGCAGGGACTTCAGAACAGAACTGGAGATGAATTCATTACAGTAAGTACAATGTTTGTTTCCTTCCCAGATGCTGCTCCATGTATGCCGTATATGCCTACATTGGGATGGTTTGGGGGTCAATGTAAGCATATATGACAGACATGGATTCTCTGGGTTTGGTGCTCTTACCCTCCAAACAGGAGATTTTTTACATCCCGTTGGCCGTTGGCGACTCCGCTTCGCACCGACGCAGGGCGAGCACCGTAGCTGACATCATGGAGCCCATTGAGCAGGCGTTTAGAGCCTTAGAAAGGGGCCTCGAGTTGGAGAGCTTGTATTTTGGAGATGGTCTTTCTTGTCCCCAGTTAAACCGATTGTTTCAGTACTGAAACAACGCAAGTGTCATAGTTTGAAGGCGTCCACGATTCTTCTTTCTGACTTTGGATGTGAATCCCACGGGCCCCTTGTTTGCCTCAGATGAACCTTTTGTTCCATCCCAGTCACTTGGTTGAGTCAGTTGGCTACCGGTTCAAGTGTGCCCTTTGTGGCAAACATGGCCCATTTGGACATTTGATTTTCAAGCCTAGTTGGCGAAAGCCGTGCAAGGCAGGCTCGAGATAGCCATCCTGTTCAGCATTCATCATTGATGAGTCTCCCTTAGGAGAAAAAAAAGCACTTTGGATGCTCGTTTCGTCCGTGGAATGTGCATCGACGCAGGCGCCACGACTTCAAGTGGGCTTCACTATGCGGGACTTGCTCCAGGAGGGATGCCACCGGCTTCGTTGGCCACCGGTGTTGAAGCAAGGAGAAGCGAAGTAGCGAAGCCGTCGGCGGTTCGCCCAACGGTGGAAGCAACAGAACTTGGGGAGTGTGAAACAGTCGGCGACCACAATATGTGCAATTGGTTGACATGTGTGCAACCAGCTTGTGATGATTATTTATCTTGGTTTAGTGTTCTTTCTGAACATGAAGCTTTTCGGGGAGTGGAAGATATTGTTTGCGTGTGTGTTTTTGGTTCAGAATGATTCACCTAGCGATCGATGTGCATTTGCTGCAAGATCTCAACAGACATCCAGGATCACCATGATTTTTTTGAAAGCAAAGCTAACCATAGCCAGTCTATATAGAACACCTATAGGGCCGAGGCCGTTTCTGCCAGCAGATGGGTGGGACTTTTCCATGAAAGTTGCACTGAACCACCGTGCCCCAGGGGCAGCCCCAAAGGGCAAGAAAGCAACGGCCCCACCACCAGCGCCGCCAAAAGCAGAAGGGAGCGAGCCACACCAAGAGCATGCAGGATATCAGCAGTGTCCTGCTAGCACCGCAGCACCAGCAAGCACAGTTGACCCACCTGCAAACGCAGCTTCAGCAGCTCCACCAGCAAAGAAGCAAGAAGAGTTGAACTGGCATGAACTGGCTGAGGTTTTTGGCAACAAAGAATCCAGAACAACTGACGGACTACTACGGGTGCCCTGGTGTTTGAGTTTGATGGCAACCTCAATGCACCAGCCATGCCAGCAGTGCACTGCTGGACTCGATCGGGGCAGGAAGCGACTCAAGGCACGGGCGCTCGAGAAGCATTGAGGAAACCATTCCCAGACGCTCCATGGGACTGCCATATATGCCGATCAGTTGGGGTGGTGCCACGGGGTCAATGTAAGGATATATGACGGACATGGAGTGTCTGGGATTGCATTGCCAATTGCAATGCTATCTTCCACTTGACGTTCCGATGAGTGTCGGACGTTCTATTCCGACAAGAGCGCAAGAGCGCCCGACAGCAAGTCCAAGCAACAGAACCAGAGCCGGTTCGAGAACCATGAGCTGCCCAGCGCGCAGAGGGCCGCCAGCGTGGAGGGCAAAAGCCATGCACACCAGCAGCCTCGAAGGAAGGAGGTGGTGGCCATGGAAGGACGGCCATGCTGCCCCCGCCGCCACAAGCGGTACAAGTGCAGGCGGGAAGAATGCAGGGCCCACCGTCACCACCCAAGCAGGCGCCATCCGTGCCTGTCCCCAGGATGTGGCAAAGGCAGCGGCACCCATTCCAGGTGACTCTGCGACGGGTGCCTACGCCTTCTCCGTTATTTGGACACCATCGAGAGCATTACTGGGGGTCAAAGACCTTCATAGTGCACCGCCCCGAAAACTGGAACCAAACACTCTTCACAAAGCCACAAAGGCACAGAATGCCATTTTTTCAGCTGGTGCTGCCAGACCAGAGAGGAGCCAGACTTCACTCTGGCACGAGGACGCTGGCGACAAGATGCTCTTTGCCAAAGGAATCATGCAAGTGCCAGCTAGCGGAAGACATGAAGACTTGTGTTTTCTCTGTCCGGTGCAGTGGAAGCGAGTAGCTTCACTTGATAGGTTTTGTTAGGCGGAGGCCGCGCAAGAGAGAAACTATCAGAAAAGAGTGTTGGCTGATCCTTGGTGGTTGGTTGCTTCAACTACTTAGCTGAGTCTCACGCTAAGTTCCCCGAAACTGGTACTCAGCTAGTCAGTCACCACTATGAAGAGAGTAGCACTCTGGCGGTCCAATGGACCAAGCGAGCGTACAAAGTTGTGGTTGCAAAGTCGTCTACAGCCGGCCGAAGCTGGTCGAAACTCATGTCATTCACATATCCTTCACATGTTTTTGAATAACCAACAGTCGCAATCCCTGAATCCCTGGAGCAAGTCGCCACGTGTAAGACTTGGGGATGAGGGAGCCCTGACCCCTCCATACTGCCCTGAACCCTCTCTCCATGTTCCCAGCAGCGCATGGCTGGCACCACCGCTCGACTGCAGGAGCTGCTGCGCACGCCCTTGCGCGCCGCGCTGGTCCTGGACGAACAGGGACGCTTGGGTGGCCTCGTCACAGCGGCAGAGCCTCGGTCGCGGGAATGGGAGTTGACCATGTGTGGGGCATTACGTCGTGGTGATGAATTCATTTGGAGTCCATGTTTGTGGGTTGTTTGATGGTGTTTTGTTTGTGTGTCATACTATTCTTAGTTGTTTGGATTTGATGATGTTGATGTGTGCGTAAGCTTACATGACACATGTTTCCCCGCCATTTGATGCTGTTTTGAAGCATGTTGAAATTCACTTGATACATTTGGATTGGATGAACTGGACATGCATTTATAGGTCGTTGATTAGAATTGCAAATACGTAAGTTTGAAGAGGTGCGTCAGGTCGCATCATTTAATCGGGCATTTCCATGCAGTTGTTGCTGATATTTCGTTCTGGTGCACACATCTCCTGCCTTCCCAGTTCTTGTGCTTGGTGCGTTGATGGGTGATTGCGTCCTGAGATTTGGCTTTCAATGTTTGGTTTCCAGGACTGATTCGATGAGAGTTTTGAATGCTCAAGACTTGAGGGCTCCGCTCGTGAAGCACCAAAGCCTGAATGGGATGCACTCAGAGCCAAGAGGAAAAGGAACCTGCCCAGGAAAGGTGGACACAACGACTGTACAAGAAGGTCGAGGAGCTTTGTGTTTTCAGTGTCGTTCTTGAAGCTTGGTTTTCCAAGTTTGTGGAGGGCATCTTACTTCAGCCTTGGGCAAAGCCTTATGCAAAGCCATGAGCCGTTGATCTTTGAACATTTCAAAGATGTCATCCTGGGACCGAAGCTTGCTGACTTCTGTAGATGGCTTTGTGAATGCATTGGCCATGGCCATGCAAGTGGCTCGGAGAAAAGATTTTTGAGCTCCTTACATGCCCAACAGGGCGTCACCTCCACAAGCAGCCAGCCAGCAGCCTGGCGAAGAGCTGTCGAGACATCTCTTGGGTTGCTGACGCCTCCTGTTTTGTGTTTCTTAAAGCCTGGAAGGTGCTTGTACCAAAGCAGCAGTGTCTAGCCTGAGTAGACACTGCTCAGTAGACACGCGTGAGCAAGTTGCAAGTTGCACGACACAGTAGACACTGCTCATGTGGGTCGCAAGGTCGCGCAGGCGATCCTTCAGACTCGTTAGACCTCCTAAAGAAATAACCCTTTAAGACTGTCTAAGACAGCCCAAGGATCAAGTGTTCAGCAGACCATCTCCTATAGTTTCAAAATATCATGCACTTCACCGCATAGCTTGGAAGGTACCGTGTAGACCACCGATGCATGTTTCTCCACCGTTCGCGGGACCGAAAATCGTGTTTGTTCTATGAATTTGTTGGGATTTTGTTGCCAAGCCTCGGCCATGCAGTGTGATTAGCGCTCAACATCACGCTAAACTGGGGCTCGATTGATCAAGTTTGGCAGGAACAGTGAGTTAAATACAAAATCTTCAAAACTTGTGTTTTGTTGATTGGATTGGAGTTCAACCAAGGAACAGGACAGAATGACATTGTCAAACAGACTTCAACCTTGACTTTTGGTGAGCAGTTCAACAAACATATCGTGCCGGACATTGACTTTCACACGGTTTAGAGTAGTCCAACTTTTGGAATGTAGTGAATCCCTGTTCCTTTTTGTTTATCACGGCTCTTTGGTACAGACTGAAGGTACAGTACTGTACCTCCTTGATGAAATTTCTAAACATTTTGGGTGATGAGCGGGAACAACACTTCATTTGAAAACTGACTTCGTGGCAAGTTGCAGGTGTAGCACTTTGGCAGTGGTTGTCGTTGCAAATGGGTGGAAGAGAGAACTTTGGAACAGATCTTGCTGCAACAGTTTTCAACAAAAACAGCCGGCCGCCTTTTAGAACCAACATAATTGACGTGGTAGATGGAACGCAGCGAGAGATAGACGAAGGCATTTTTGACCAAGATGGTTGAAGCACTCCACCAACCCCAAGAGCCACGTTCCACAAGAGCCACGTTCGCATGAAACGTGCATTAAAACTACTTCAAACACTGCCATCAAAGGAACCTGAAGGTTGGAGAAGGTGACACTGCCATCAAAGGAACCTGAAGGTTGGAGAAGGTTCATGTATTGCTGTTCAACCCAAGAGTAATTACTGCATATGGGGTATATGGCTCAGACCCAGACAACCATAGAAGCGGGCATGAATTCTCTTCATTATACAAATATATGTATTTTTGCTTGATTTGTGTGGTACTCTTTTCTAGTACGCACAGACTGCGGTACTCTTTTCCACTACTTGGCGATTTTGCCATAGATTGTGTGGTGCTCTTTCTTTCAGCCCCACCTTCCATGCCATGCCCTGAGGATGCACTTTGGGCCTTCAACCAGCAGCTCTCACAGACTCTGGATGCGTGGGGCCCCTTGTCTTTGAGGCGCACGGCCTTGCAGGTTGTGCCGCGAAACGGGAGCCAGGAAAAGTAGACTGGATCCAAAAGAATTATTTATGGATTGTTTAATTGATTTTACAGTGAAATACAGTGCACAACAGTGTTTTTAGTTATGAGTTATGAGCTATATTTGGGAACCAGTCAAAACTTGCTTCTCTGTTCTCAGAATTTTTGGAACTTGCTTGACGAAGTTCAGCAACGTCCTGGCCGCGGCCAGGCCGAACCGCCTGGCACGGCAAATTTGCGCGAACACGGCGCTCACCAATGCTTGCAGTGCCTTTGAACCCACAGGCGTGCTCGGATGCACGTGTGCTTGGTGAGCTGTGCAGTGGGTGGTCGAAGGGATACCCTGAAAACCACTGATTTGGAGAACAGTCTTTCAGGGTGCCATTCGACCCGGGTCCATGTGAGTTTTCGGGAGCCTCGCGCGGCTCCCTCCTTCCTCCCTGGTCATGCCTGGGTCCTAGGCCGGCACCTCCTGGCCACGGAGCCGGAGACTGGTAGTGTGGTCGGCTTGGTGTCGCCCAATCACGTGGCCCGGGGCGCCCGGTGTGGCCGGTGGCCATGACCGTTTCGGGTGGAGTGGCGGTCGGTTGGCTAATATCCGTGGCTGGGAATAGCCTGCTATACTTGTACAATGCTGCTACATGCTGCTACCATTCTGAAGTTCTGTAAGGAACAAGTGTAGTACAGAGGCTGCTTTACTTAATACGTGCTCCCTGTTTACTGGTGAATTGGTCCTAAGATGTGTGAGCTTGCCCCAAGTTTCTCTACTGCTTTGAAGAACACTGACTGACTGGACAGGTATCAACAATACGGCATTGTGTTACATCACCCATATGGACGTTGGTATATTGATGTTTTTTGATGTATATGGAGTTGCAGCACCATATTGTCCAACTTCTGTCGACCTCAATGCAGCACAAGTCTTGCATGTTCTATATACAAGTTACAAGTCTTTCATTCTTGCTGAAAGCTGAATCAAATCCTTTTGTTAAATCGGGAAGAGTAGCTTTGTTCCTGGTCCTAGTCCATTTTGGTTCTTGCTGGTTGTTGCTGTACACTAATAAGACACACTTCTCAAACCAACTGGACTCTTTCGAAACCGCGGCTCCAACTGCTTCCCGCCTCCACGAACGGACTCCAGGTCGACCTGGGCCGTCGGAGGTCTAGGCCTGTCCCAGTGCCCAGCTGTGCTCCCGAGCTCAAGAAGGTGCGCCTGCCGCGCGCGTGCCTTGCTGCTTCGTTCGCGCCGGAGACGCCGCGGGACTTGCTTTTTGGAGTGTTCTCCTGCTATAGCAGGTGGAGGTAGAGTGAAATCCCCACGAGGAGTGTCTCAGCCAAGAATCCGTGTCCAAGACATTAAACAAATAGAATGACATATTGTGTCCTTTGTATTCCTTTGTTGATTCCGAACCAGCAGGTGTATATGTATATACTTATGCAGTTGTTCTACCAGCTTGGGGTTCAACAGCCACTGGTGGCCAAGGAGATGCAAGTCTCGTGTCGCTCCTCGTCAGGAGAGGCTTCGAAAGGTCAAGGAGGAGCGACCGATCAAAGAAGAACTGACAGGCGGCTCCAACGCGGTAAGTGGCGGTCCGTGGCGGTGGGAGTGGTTGGGGTGGGAATGGATGATGTTGGATGTGTGCATGGCTACTGGCTGGTGGGATGTTACGTAGTATGTTACGTGTTTTTTTTTCGGCATTTTGGTACTAATTGAAAGGAGAGCAGAGGACTTTTGTGTTGAAGTTTGTGAGTTTGGAAGTTCTTCGTTTTTTTTGGTGCCTGATCGAACTCGAAGATGGACCATGATGGACCCTTTCTTGTTTGAGCCAGTGGATCCGTAGCTGGCACTTTCAAAACCTACGGGCCCTACGAGCCTTCTTTACTAGGCCGAATGGTTTCCTGACTGAGCAAGAAGATTCAGATGAAACCTTCATGACAGTGCAGCGGAAGAGGTGTGGTGAAGTTGGAAGAGGACGTGAAATGTGAAGAGCCGGCGCCGAAGCGAAGAGCTGTGATGACCAAGCTTCTCGAAGAGGTTTAGCTTGAGATGGCTTTGGCTTTGGCCGTCCACGCCATCCATGAAACAATAGAAACAGATGTGGATCCCCCGCAGCGGTGGTTCCACGTGGGCGTGTGGAACGTGGGCGTGGTTCCTCCCATAAGGATCATAAGGAACTCCACAATTACTACAGTGGATCTATGATGATCTATAGAAGGTTTAACAATCAGTGGAGGTGTAGTTTAGAGCTTCAAGTCTTGCTTCACCAGAGAGCTGCTGAGAGTTCCTTTGGTGAAAGTGACCAAAGAAGACAAGTACGTAGTTCCTTTCCATCGAATGTCTGACAGGCTGCAGGTCCCGCCTGGATTTTCTCAGGTCCCGAAGTCATTTGCCCCAGCCGTCCGGCCCGAATGAGGCCAAAGATCGAAGTGAAGTCCGAGAACACAGACATGCCACTCAGCTTGCGGTGTTTTTTGTTTGGCGAACATGCCATGGGGGAAAAATCGATGGACCAAGCAGCAGGTACAAAACACATGGGTGGTCAGTCCAATGGGAGCAGTCCAACCTTTGAGGAGACAACCAGACATGGAAGCCGATGGACCTCGAAAGACCTACCTGAGGGGAACCGGAAATCTGGTTATGAAATCCTAGATCCACCCAATATATGGCATGAGGTGATTCCTGCCAGCCGCTCGGGCTCAGCAACCAGCTTCTCATACTTTATCACTGCCCAGGATGGATCCTGCCCTTCTCAAACTGAGGAAAGGCTATCAATGCCTGGATGATGCCAAGCTCTCTTTGCCTTATCATGGGCTGAAATTCACAGCACAGCCCTTGCCCAGCTCTAAAGCCATGTCTCTTCGTCACACGCTGGACGATCCGAAGTGGTACTCCTCGCCTCGAGGTCCTTCTCCAGGAACTCCAGGTCCGTTGTGTACTCCAAGGTGAAAGCCTGGTAACTCTTGAAGAGGAGCGACCAGTCTGGCCATGAAGACTGTTCTTAATGGACCATGGTTGGGCTCCAGACATCTGGCGTCACTAAAGTCTTTGGATCAGCTCTTGGATCATCACCTTTCTCTCCTCCTTGCTAAGGCAGTCTGGCCGTGAACTTCGGCACACCCACGGTCTCAGTCACCACCTGCTCCAGCCTCGTAATGGAGTCTTTGTCACAGCTCCGCTACCATCATCGAGCAAAGCACGATTCCTTTACTCTCGAGCCTGGCTTCCTGTAGTATGCACGTGGTTCATGTCAACATGTGTTTCTCACAGTCTCACATGGAGGTATGCACTCGGCTCTAAATACATTTGATTCAGTGTCACTTGCCCACAGACCCAAAAATGGCATTCATCGAGTTGTTGACCTCTATCCAGAGCGAGTGTCAAACAGGTGTGTGGCCACCCCTCCCCCCCAAAATTATTGTCCTTGCTTGTTGCCTTTGTAAGGCTGAATAGCGTTGTTTCATGTTGAGGTAGAGTTTGGCTTTTGCAGCCCCGTCACTTTTAGGTGCAAATGCCATACATGAAACATGACACATAAACAACAATCATACATTCAAACGACTCACAATTTCATCAGATCTGTCAGTTGCGGAATCACACACGATGTGTCGAACAGCTTGCAGTGTTTTGATTGCTTTGCAGTGCTGAGCGCAAAAGTTTCACAAGCGTAGTCCGCGGTTCCTTAGCCATGGGCACAGCTCTGGCAACTTCGGGGACTGTGAGCCTTGCACCTGTTGCCAAAGATGCCAACAAGGTGTCGTCAGAAGACATTCTGAGTAAAGAAAAGCGAGATGCTTACGTCCTCATCATTGGCAAGGGAGTGATGTCACATTGGGCGTCGGTGTGGATTTTTGAAGATGGAGCCGTGTACTCAGTGGAGCTCTCCGCGATTGACGAGCGGACCAGAAGTCGATGGGTCCGATGCCGCTACAAGATGCGTGAACTCTACTCCGGACAGCGAAATGAGACGAAGTGTGAGGAGGGGTTAGACCTGGAAGCAAATGTCCCAACAGAAAATGAGGCCACTGTTGAGAGGTCAGACATGGAAGCGAACGAATCTGTTCACGCGGCTCTGAGGGTCATTTGGTCCGAGGACGCTGCACCAAATGTCCAGGAAAGCATAGCCAAATTAGCCAAGTTTGTTAAGGACAGTGGGACTGGGTACTACATCATGACGCCGGAACCAATCCACATTCAGCAGACGTCGCCTTGGAAACTGCGGAAAAGGGCCTCCAAAAAATCATCATTACCAGGTGCCTATGAAGGTCCTGCCAACAACAATTGGGTCAATTGCTGCCGCCCCAACATTGCTCCTTTTGGAGGTGTCCTTCGTGCTGATCTACATGACACTGCAGCGCTGGTGTTGGTGTCCTTTGGATTGGGGCTGAAGTGTATTTCACATGCCGCTACAAAAACGATTTGTTCGTATGCATTGGCTGCATGAGTACAGAGAACCTCTTGCTTGTAAACGTCCTTTGGTGGCCCATGGCCTTGCTTAGCGGAGTGGCACTGGTTGCTGTAGTCGCAGTTGTCTCACGATACAAACTCCGATGTCTGACTGATTTTTTTGCAACGACTTTATGTGCAGCAATACTCATTCATCCCTCCTCCACAGCACGTGGAATTCCTGTGATCAGCTTGATTTGGGACCTATGCATGGTGATGGCTGCTTTGGAAGCAAATAGGGCCCTGCTGAACGGGCGAAACCAACTGTGGATGTTTCTGGCATGTGCTGCAGTCACCCTTTTGCAGTGGTACTTTGGTTGGCCATGGCAAGACACCTTGCTGCTGCTTGTAGCGATTGCAGGCCAAGTCTGTAGCCTTTTTTGTTTGCTCGTTATTCCGTCATTCCACATACGCACAGACCCTCCTAGAGCTCTAGGAAGCCTAGACTTGGACGATGCAGTATCATGATGTCGCTAATGTGAAGCAATACCATGTGCTCCAATCATCAGAGTGTTTTTTTACCAATGTGACACATCCACACGGTTCTGGTCATGAAACTGTGTCAGCTGGTGTCATGGAATTACATCGAAGCATCGCGTGGCAGTTCAAGTCGATCCTGAAAGCATCGGTGCTTTGGTGGGTGGCCTTGTCCCTGTCAGAAAGGAAGCATCAATTGTTCTTTGAGCCTTTTGAAGTCCGCGGAAAAAGCAGATCAGCAAACGAGTGCACACCTGACATGATTCCAGAATGATTTAAAAGTAAACTTCCCCTTGTGCTTCCCTCCACGCCACACCACGCTTCCACGCCCTCGCCACACCGAGGCCCACCTTGGCGGAGATCGTCGCCCGCCGCGAGACGCCCAGCTGCGCCATCTCACAGTCGCTCAGCGACGCGGTGGACGCCATGGTCTCAGCGAAGCGGACGGCGGCGGTGGTCCTGGACGAGGAGCAAGTGCAAGGACTGGCGCAGCCGCGGGGGCGTGGGAAGTGGGAGTGTTGGAAGGTCGGTGGGGCGGCAGAGTTGTGTGGGAATGGGACTGAAGGGGTTTGAGAAGATGGATGTAATTATGTTATATATGAAGTCGGTTTGTTGTTTGAAGTGTGGCATTGTGTTTAGAGATTTGAGGGATTCGTTAGTTGAAGGCGGTATTTTCCAGGGTGGCACCGAGATTGGCTGGGGCATGGGAGGCCTGCATGTGGAACATGTGGGTTGTGCAGCTGAGAAAGATTTCTGTCACAGGAGTGCTCACAGAGAATGACATCCTTGCTGCACTGGTCGAGGGTACCGAGTGGGAATGCAAGATCATGGACTGGCTGAAGGGTGGATATGATGCTTGGCACATCTTGGCACAGTCGATCCGTGACATCTCCACCCTCCACCGATCCAATTTCAAATCACCACGTGCGTAACAAAAGACATGCATTGTTTGATGCGAAGCCTAGAAATGGTACTTGTGGGCTACCGCTATTTGGGCTACCACTGTTTGGGCTACCAAGAGGTGCTCCCTACATTTAGAGATTCGCCTGTTGCGCTTAGCTTGTTGGAGTTACTGACTGGAGTTCTTGTCCACGCGTGTTTAGCTAGTCGATTCATGGGCCAGTCTCAGGGGGACACCTGTGAGTCGACCTGTCAGCATCCCACAACGCGTGCTGACAGGTCGACTAGGAATCCGAGATGTCCAAAGTACCGCGTACTTGGTCCAATCAGCCGCGAGTTCTTGTCTTTGAACTATGTTGCTGTTGATTCACTGGTGCAAGGACGCATATACATTATATACATGCATTTTCTTCTTCCCGGATGTTTGACTCTTGAGCACACGACCCACCAAACAGATGCCGACCAATGTGCTGACCGACCTGTACATCAGCAATCCTTCCGTCCGCCAGCAAAAGAAGAAGCTACTATAGTAGCAAGTGCATCGCTACTAATTAAGTAACAAGGGGCATTACTACTAGTATAACAAGAAGCTACGAACGTAGCGCTGCACTTGTTACTTACTAGTGCCCTGGTTCCGAATGCCTCCGATCGCTTGTTCCGAGGCCCGGCTGCCAGGCTTCCTGGTTCCCGCCTTGACCTTGTCCTCCAGCTCCAGCGTGGTGGATGCAGCAGCAGAGATGGTGACCATGGTGGAGGCCGCTGTAGACCATGGTAGACCGAAGAGGGATGGACCTGTAGCAAGCATTCGATTATAGCATGGGTGATTGAAGGGCAAGTCATCCACTTAATAGCTTGTGATGCAAACATGTTTTTTGCGCTTCAATGACTTGTCAACTACATGCCTTGCTCACAGAGTTTTTCTGTTTTGTTTCGCGGTTTAGGGTCGTGTACGATCGCAGCATCCGTCTTTCCGAGTGATGCAGCCAATCCCAGGACGGCATGGGATTTGCCTGTCATCACCTGCTGGTCCATTCTAAGGCCCGGCATCGATGGACATCGTCAGGTGGATTGAGGGGAACAGTCAACTCGACATAACTCTATCTCTGTATTAAAATGTCTATCAGGAACACATTGGGAAGCTTCTGAAGCGGAAGCTTCTCAATGTGTTCCATTTCTTGAGACGCCTCTCCAGCCAACTACCAAGCCTCTCCAACTACCCCGCCTGCAGCCTGCAGCTGCTCAGGCCGAGGCTCAGCCGCATCGGATCTTGTCGGCCTTGGACATCGCCCGTGGCATGGTGGACCTCGTCCTCTCCGAGGTTCGGCAGCGGGGAAGGTCGGCGGCGGTGTCGGTGGGTATGAGGTGGTTTGGGGCACCGGGTTGGACCTGGCAGAATTGCTTGTGGAACTGTCGGAATGTCGTTCCATCTCTTTCGACATATATGGTCGAAGGTGGAATTTGCGTGCTTTGAAGTCAAGAGCCATAGATTATTGGGTCGTATGGCGATATGGGATCTATCCAAGAGAGAGGTTGATTGTACTGTGAAGACGAAGAGGACAAACATTTTATGAACATGGTAGAATACACAATCAGAACTGGTGGAACTCAATGGATATGCAGATGAAACCAAACTAAAAGCGCCTGGAAGGAATGTTCTGTGTGGTCCAACCTGACCTAGCTCGTGTACTGGATGGTGTTCTTGTCAATATACTCCAACAAAGTGATTCCACTTGGGTGATAAGTGATATTGTGTTGCCAGCTACTGCCTACCTACTTACCCGTTCAGCATGCTGAATTGGGTATCCAGCCAGTTGTTTTGTCCAGAACTCATATGGACTTCACCCTTTGCACAGTGCCTTAGACGTTGAAGCACATCTTCCCTACAATGCTCCATACAATTCGATGGTTCAAAGAACTTGCATGCTTATGCTTGACTTCCTACCGGTCCGCCCACCAATGATCGTCCTCCTTGACCACGTCCTCTCGCGTCCTTTGGCGTCACTTGACCTCGCCCAGGTGGAGGATGAGGGCCTGGAGTGTCAATCCGCGCGGGAGGCCTCGATGTTCACCGTGGAGCAAGTGATGAAGGAGCGCCAGACCGTGTGGCTCGAACCATCGGACCTGGGACACCGTTGCCGGGAACGGAACGGGGTAGTATAGGGCGGGCTTCGGTGGGGACAACGGAGTGTGGCATTTGGAGAGCCAATCAGTGCAGATATGTATAGTCAGTATATGTCATTATAATATGTATATAAGTTAGATAATCAGTGCAGATATATAGTCTAATAGTCAGTATAAGTTGGCAAGATGGATCTAAATCTTGATCAGGAGTTTGTGTGCAGAAAGTCGGGGCAGCCGGGTGGATGGATGGTTTTGTACACGCAAAGAGGAAAGGACCAGGTGGGTACTCCAGGCACCTACCTTGTCCTGCTGATCCTTTCGCATCCTTCACAATCATGCGGTGCTCGCTGTTTTGTTGAGGTCCAGCTGCAAGTTACAGGACTCCATGCAACAGGCCTTTGAAGTCATGTGCCTTTGACGGGTCACCGGTGGGTGGGGGACCAGTTCGAACTTGGTGCGGATGGGTTCAAGCAGAACCAGGAATGAAGACACGTGTAGAACATGGACTGGAAAACACCGTTTAACTTCTGGAACTGGGGTCACGACTTACACCGGCTGGGGCCTGAAGCGGATTCCAGGAGAATTTGGGAATGTTCGGGATGTGTTTGGGTGTATTTGTGTGGTATCATCCAGCTCCTGTCTTTTTTCTTCATACCGGCTGTGTGTGATCATCACGTCATACCGCGGGAACGATCCGGCAGAAGTGGGCCACGTTGGCCGCTTTTTTGTTGCGTTGCAGAAGAACTGCAAAATGAATAGCAATAGGGGGAACATCAACTCTGTATGTTGCCCCCCTTTTACACTCGTTTTGCAACAAGCATCACGTGTTCCCCACAAAAGCTGGGACGCCTTTGTTGCTTCTCGTGCAAGTACAGGTACAAGTCGAAACAGAATTGCGTGCTCATCGTTGGAGAAGACTTTGAAGATGGCGAGCCCTGGAGTCAAATGCGACCAGATTGGGGGTAGGTGATATCTTGTAGGGATATACAGTAGTTTGTTTCCATTCAGGTTTGAGCTGCAGGGCCTTCCGAGTGCGATGCAAACCATGTCCATTTAGTATACAAACATGTGTTGAGCACGTGATATTTCAAGGGGTTCGCTGTGGGTTGTCAAGCAGGCTTAGAGTCCTAGAGCTCTTGCTCTCTAATGTGTTTTTGTGCGATTTTGGAGTCACGTCATCAAACGAACATCGTGGGGCATCTATTGTCCTAGATGCCTCTTAAGTTGCTGGAAAGGGGTTACGGTAGTTAGAATTCCCCCCAAAAGGCTGTAGGTTTTGTTGTGACACGTTCTTCACGGTCTGAGGATTGCAAGATCGAAGTTGCACCGGGCTCAGAAGCGCGTTCAGAAAGCGGATGGTCCATTGGGTTGTAAGGTTGTAAACGCCCCAAGTCTAGATGGCTCAAAGTGAAACCCAGGTTAGGTGGTTTATACCCATTGTGGACTTCCCCCGTTTGTCTAGGACATCATGGTGTTTGTGCCATTGAACCTTTGCAACCACTGTAGTAGGTTAAGGTGATTTGCTTTTCAGTGAGGATGACTTGACGCCGGAAGAAGAGCAGTGGCAGAAGGAGCCACACTCTCTTGGGAGCTCAGTGGGTCAGGTCGTGGACTAGCGCCGGAGGTGGGGGAACCGGTCTTCACCAGAGAGTCCTTTGGAACACAGATCCCTTTTTTGTTTGGTGGAGAGTAGCAACATGTAGCAACCAATTGTTTGATGTCTTCACCACTTCTGGATTGCGAAAGAAGCACACCAACACACAAATTGAGGCAGAGCAATACGGAACGTGGATGAGCATAGTGTTTGGGCTCATTAAATGAGCATAATTTGGAGCCCTGGTCCATGATATGTTAGGAACACTCCAAGCACAAAGAAGAGAAACACTGTTGATACTAGTTCATATATTTGCTCCATGCCATCAGAAACGACCCAACTTCGCCCTCCCCAGCGACTGGCACCAGGAGCACGGCCGTGTCTATGGCGTCATCACGGCCGCAGACGCAGTGCGTGCCTTCTCCGAGCACTTGCGAGGTGCCTCTACCGGTGTTCGCATGGACGGACTGTTTTAGATATGACATGAAAACGAAGAAACTTGATGTTTCAAACATTTGCTCAATATTTGATATGTTGCCATCAAACCCTACCAGATCTCATTTCGGATGCTGAAAAGATCATGGCTCTGCTGGACGCTGGAGATCCCTTTCGGATGAGTGACCAGACAAACAACCCATGCTCCACGGGGCTCATGTGTCCCATGACTGACGGATCGGGCAGGAAACACCAGCACAGTGGCTGGATGGCTGAGAGGTTTGGCCAAGGACTGCTGATGGACAAGATTCGGGCACCATGTCCACCAAAGTCGGTGTGACTTCCTAAAACATGCAACTCTTGTAAGCAAAGAGACATCACAAGGTGAACTGATTTTTTTCTGTTGTTTTGTTGCGGGATACGATCAGCTTGCTGTTGAGTTCAAGGCAGCCGGGACCATGATATCGCCAAATTCACACGAAGAATCAATTTATAAACCCAGCATGTCGCATTATACGTTATGTTTAAAGAAGAAGACCTGATCCGTTTTGTTCCTAAGAACAGAAACATGCAACACATCTCCTTCATTCTGGCGAATTCCCTTCACCCAGACTTCGTCCTGTCTTTCTCCGCGCGCCCGCAGGAGCACAGCCGCGCCAGCGTGCGTTCGGACGTGGCCCTGTCCGAGGCCGCGGAGACGATGGCGGAACACGAGGTGCACCACCTCTTAGCCCCTCGGCGCGCGGGGGTCAGAGGGCGACCGGGTGAAGTGCTTTGAATGGGGTCCAGTCAATATGGAGTGTCTGGTGTGTGTTATGAGATATCCAGGTCAATAGGATGGGGAACGTGACGGAAGATGCTCAATGAGATGGGTGAAGCTGCTTTGAAGATTCAGTTTCAACATCTTTCGGTGCACAGCCGGTGCTTGTTCGCAATGAGTGGGCCCTCCAGCTTACCAGATGTTCTTACTAGGAAACACACTGAACTAACTTACCAACTTACTTTGTTGCCAACTGTGTTACCAGATGTTTTTACTTACCAACACTAGGAAGCACTAGCCAAATCCTGCTTTCTGTGAGAGAGTCCTCAGATTCTCTGAGTTTGAGGGAACATTGTGGATGAAGTTGGCCCCACCGAGCGTGGATGTACGCGTTTACATGATCCAAGATGCACAGCAAGTCCTGTCAACATCCTAATGTAAACTGAATTGGAAATCCACATCATATGTGAGGGTTTATCAATCAAGAGTCTACATTGGTGTTCTTCATTTGTCATCGAAGAGGTGCTGAATTGGTCGTGTTGTCCACGCTGAGACCAAGTCATGTAACACTCGGAAGAAGCACGGGTTCATCATCAGACCCACTTCACAGACTTGTTTTGAGGTCCTGGATGCAAACAGTGGTGAGGTGTCAGGCCCGTGCAACTTCGAAAGCACGCATGATGAGATGCAGAAAGCACGCACGTTTTGGTGAGGCCATGCTGAAAGGTCGAAACAACACTGATGATTTTCCCATGTTTAAATTCCATTTCAGCCAAGGGGCCCTCTCACCCCGCCTCAACCGCAAGGCACACCCTGTTAATCCTCCTCTTTCTCATTTCAGAAAACACAAACACCTAGAAGCACTAGAATAGTAGTGCGATGTGCTAAAGACTGTCTGCATACAAAGAAGAGCTTGATAATTGAGGGTGCCACGAGCCGCTGAATGACCGTTGTTATTCTTTGTACAGCCAAAAGTCTTTGTGATTCTTTGTGTCAGCTTACATCGCTTTTACAGAAACAACGTCACCGATGGGCAGGCGTGCTCTCAGCTTTGGATGTGGTGTCGGCTGCCCAGATTCCGATGCTCATTTTGGGTGTGAGGGCGTTGTTCCTCATTAAAAAACTGATGTAAGGTTTTCAAAGGTATCGGCGATGCACCTGGGAGTTGAAGATCAGTCTAGTCTTCTTAAAATACATCATAATACATCTATAAAGGACACAGGTGTGAAAGAGATTTCCCGTACTTTGATATGGGTTGATGCCATATTGATCGTATTGATACTCCGCCAAGTGGGTTTCCCACATTCGGAGAAGCCGTAGATGGATTCGTCCAAAGCACTTCGGAGAATCTGAGATGCCCAGGTGTGCTTTGGGCGCTTCCTACAGGTTTGACTTGTCTTCACCTCGTTTTGTATAGTTCGCTCGTGGCGCGGAGAATTTCTCCGAGCCGCTTGGAATGGGGTGCGCGACGGTTTGGCATTCTGAGGCCAGCATTTGAGGCATTTGTGTGGCATTCGCATGAAATTTGGCGGAGGAATCAATTGGGTGTGTCAGTGTGTGTGTGTTCAACCCTGTGGATGAAAGGAAATAGACCAGTCTACCCATTGGTTGCGGATCTCCCTATTAAATTGCAGTCAAAATTCAACAAGTATCCTTTGTAAGTCCTTGCTTTATGGGACCAACTTCTCTCATGGTTAAGGTTGCACAGTTGCCACTCTTGGCCAAGCAGGGTCATGGAATAACAAGCTCAACTACGTTCGATCCCAAGCAGAGCCCTCAAGCCAAACTGACACGTGTACCTGTCCTCGGGCCGCATTTCCTTTTGGCGTCCCGATTTGGGGCAAACCTGTTGAATACATGGCTGCGAGCTCAAACAGTTTGAGTTCTCGCGCCACCGTTTGTCCCGTTCCTAGCTTTCAGCTGTGGGAGAATTTAACCCTTTCCACTGAGACAAAAGCTGGAGACTCAACAAAGCAAACAGGAATGAAGGATGTCAAGAGGAGAGTAACTACTGGTATACGTTTTGAGTCGTTTTGGGTTTCACCAGGTTGATTTGTCCCCTCATCATGTTTTTAAATAACTCCTGGCAATTGTACATCACAGTTGCTTCTGTTCTTCCAAAGGAAAGGTGTTTCCAACTTATGAAGGCTTTTGATTCGCTTTTTGCAAGCTTGAAAATTGCCCGGTCCCCATTGGCCCCCCAGTCATGGGAGCTTGTGACCACGGTCATCTTTGGTCTGAGATAAGATGCAATAAAGGCTCGACCGTCCGACCTTTATCTCAGTGGAGCAGCTGCGATCAACTGATGATGACCTCTCGGTACCAAACAACATAAAAATCCGCAGCTGGCTGTGGGCGCCGCTTTTCGCGTGCTTGTCGCGTCCCTGCACGGATGATCCGTCCGGGACTGCGCAAGCCCTTCGCCGCGAGTCCTGAGGCTGCTCCGCGAGCCCTGCGATCGGTTGAGGTGTGGTCGTCAGTGATGTTCCGGGCGACCGTCCTGCATGAGGCCGGGATGGGCCGTTTGGGTTGTACAGGCTGAAGGCCTCGGGTCTTTGAATACCATGGAGGCGACACACAGGACCTGCTGACAGCAGATCGCAGAAAATGAAGTGTGGAGGGCGTTGGGGTTTGAAGTCGCGGGTATCACTGTTAGTCACTGGGTTCCTGGAGGTCTTTGAGGCTTAGACAGCCTATCAAAGTCTGACCTCTAAACACAGAGACCGTGGAGAGAAGTACTGCCGCATGCCACACACCAACTGGAACCTGAATGTGCCAAGGAAGCCTGAGAGTACCGGAAATTCAAGATACAGCCCGACCTAAATGTGAGGACCCACAGTGTTTCATCCTTAGCACCCTGGCCACCAGTGGAAGGGACCCGCCATGAAGAGAGTCCGTAGGAGTGTTCGATCGGAATCAAAAGCTCCACAAATATTTGATGCGACATGTTTCTCCAAGATCTGGGTCGTTTGCATGGGTCGCATGATGTCGCATGGGTCGCATGATGTCGCATCATGCGTGACCCGTCGCTTTGCTGCCTCAAAGGCCTGAAGATTAAATCAATGGCCAACGGAAAGGAACCCGAATGCACTGGGTGAATCATTCTCGGGTCATGGCCGGTTTCAGGTTTTGGAAAAAGACACCTTTGCCAGACGAGTGCGTTGTCAGTTTCTATGAATTTAAAACAGGGCATGCAGCATTCATACATGCAATCCTTTTCACGCAACATCACCAACATCATGGGTGCCAGACTGGTGCCCAAACGCTAAGGCCAGCGGCTAGCCCCAACCACCAGCGGCTAGCTCAAAACAAGTCGACAGAAGGCGGAACCAACAGCAAGTCACCACCTTAGTACACACACGCACACATTCTGGAGACATCTCCAACCAGGTCAATTTGACCCCCTGCTTTGCAGGTATTGGCAAGTACACTCTTTCCAAAAGGATCTTGAGAAGGCATGGCTCCAAGATTGTCGCAGAATTCATTTATCATCATGTATTCATATAGATGATTCTCATGATTTCTTTCACCAAATAACCTCAACAAATCATGGGACTCATCTCTATTATTGGTTTAACCCACCCCCTCCATAAACACTTGCAGTGGACCAACTTTTTCGAATACTCCTCCTCACCATGGCCTCCGCGAGCCAAGTGCGCGTGGCGCTGGGCGCGCTAGGCGGAGCCTCCGCGTCCGCGCGTCCGCGGAGGGCGATGGCGGGTGTGTTGGAACGAGCTGCACTGAACGGCTGTGTTTATGTTTAAATGAGAGGATCCCCAGGCCAGATAATATGCTCAGTGTACTGAGGACGTGCTCGCTCTGAGCTTTCTGTTGAAAAGGTGCGAATTGTCTATGCAATTTGAGGTCACTGTGCAGAGCAACAGTGAGTTTTGCTGAAAACTATTTTGTTTGTCGTATATAGTCTTCTAGGTAGCTGGTCTAACAACCCCAGAGAGAAAGAGGTCACTGAACACTGAAGCAGTTCTTTTCCAAGACACGCCTGAAAGGAATCAAAAGACTCGTTTGGTGGCACATGCGCCGTCACACAAAAGACTTGCCCAAGGAGCGTTTCGGGGAAGACCTTATGTCTCATGTTGAAAGCAAGTCAAAGACTCGTGTTTCCATATGTTTCCATATATTATGTATCGCATGTTTTTGTTCAATAAGAAGTCCTATCATCGGAATGACATGACAGGAAAGGGTGTTTGGATCATATCTTGAATGGGGAAGATTGGTCCGACGGAAGATGAACACCACCTCAACATCCATGCCACGAGTCATAACCAAGTTTAATCATGCAGGTGACTTGTGTGATCTTAATCTTGTGCATGTATGTATCCTATAGAAAAGCAGGCTTCCAAAACATCTTCCGTAGCACGCTCACAAGCGCCTACTTAGAAGTCAACTGTGGACTCGCATGGACTCGCTGGGGCTCACGGCTTGAGGTTTGGACTTCCACCAAAGATCTGAAACGACTATACCGTAGCGTCCTTGCTCCTAGTAGCGATGCCTGCCTGTGACTATACCCTGAGATCAATCGAATCAGCTTTTTCCTAGGTGCACCTGCCGACCCCCTGGGAGGCAGCCAAGAATAGACTGCCGTAAGCTGCGCCACTAGACCCACTGCCAGACTGCAGGTAGTGGTTGTGCGCTGACCTTCGTCCTCACCCAGCTTCTCTCCTCTCCACCTAAAGCGAAGCGCCTTGGCAAGAGCTCCAGCATTCAAACACACGAAACGCCTTCCACTCTGACTATCTTACGAGAAACTCACGACCAGACTTCCACTCGGCCTGAGCTCACATGCACTGATTTGGGACGTTCAGGATCGATTTATGGGTGTTTGGGTTGGGCAACCAGTTTCACGGCACACCACCGACACCAAAACTACCCGACAGTAATGATTCGACATGGTTCTTTCCCAGACACTCCATGTGAAACCAAGCATCCCAACGTTCGAGTCAGACAGGTTGCCGACCCGTTTCGCTTCGCAGACCCGTCAGGTCGACCGGTCGAACACGGCACGGTTCGAGTCCGAGGCCCTGCCCTTCGGAGAAGGCCCGGAAGGAGACCTTCGACCAGCTGGCTCCGCGGCATCCGATGACGACCGAGGGGTGAAGTCGACGCTCGTTGCGATCGGTGGGGTTTACGGCTATCCCTCGTTGTAAATGATCAAACAAACCGTACCAGAATATCCCAAACATCCAAAAAGAATATGAAAAAAGACCATTCACCCATATGAGCAACCCCTTCTATTAAGGCTTTGCTATAGTAATCTACGGCATGCTCTATTTGCTTGTCTATCATCAGATGCTTGTGAACGAGATAGGGCCCCCACATAAACGAAACGCTTTTGTTTGATGACACTAAAGTAGTCTGAACGAGATAGTGTGATTTGCTACTTTAAAGTAGTCTGAACGAGATACGGTGACATGACCTCCTACTTAAGTAGTCTAAACGAGATAGGGCCCCCACATAATAGATGATAGTGTATTTGAGTTTGGTACCAAATAAATGCCCCGCCGCACATCACTCAGGCTCCCCGTTGGGATGTCCTGGCCCGGCCCCCGGCGTCGATCATGCCGCGGGCAGTGGGGACCAGCTGCACTGTAAAGGGTTGGACAGGACAAGCCTATAGGTCTTTGGACAGGACACCCGTGGCGGAAGCGCTAGGTATTTCGTGTTTGTTTAGGACTTTTGGTAGGAACTGGTCTTGTGTTGTATCTTTTCTGTTCATCTTTGTCCTAGTAAATACTTGGTTCGATTCGTGATCATGTGCCACCTTGATTGGCGGTCCGCGGCGGAGCCTGCGTTTTTCTCTCGAGACCCAACCACCACTGGTATGTCAGGATAAGTTCTTTCTAGCGACAGGACATGACGGCAACCACCACCGTCACCACCGACACCAGCACCAGCACCAGCAACAAGAAGAAAAAGAACACCGCGGACTGCAGCAGCACAACTCCTACCTCTCTCTTCATGTTGAGTTTTGGCGCCTCCATCCGCATCAAGTTTAGGTGCGCTCCGATGAGTTTCTGGCGGGCATCGGCAAGCTGCGGAGGTGTCTTGGTCAAAGTTGACGAACACTCGTTGGTGTGTCCTTTGTCCTTCCTTTTGTGTCTATAGGGGTGCCTATGGCCTGGTCCAAAAGAAGTTCTTTTGTTTTCGCCCTTCATTGGCGCTTCTTTACACAACAAGGTTGTTTTTTCTTTAATTAGAGGGCCGAGGGCCTGGCGGAATGTTGGAGCCTCCATGGTTTTTGTTTGGCTAGCATGTTGTTACAGTTTATTTCTCCGAGCACAGTGTGGATGTGATTCTTTGGATTCGAATCCACGGGACTATCGTGGAAACGAGAACGATGGATGGAGTCCGGCCCCTCACAAGGAAACCGCCTGGCTCGGCTCGGCAGGCGATTGATACAAAAAGCCCGTGGACACCTGGCTGATTGAGCTTGGGTTGGAGAAGCTCACTCGAGATGATGTGGTCCGGCTGGTTAGCAAAAGATCAATGGATAG